TTTCACGCAGCCTGCAGCTTCGTTTGTAGCTGGCGGCGCCCCTCGGACCCGGCGCGCCGCGATTCTCGCCGATGGCATCGCATTTCTCGCTAGAACATTCATGTAACGATTGTCAGGGCTGGGTCCTGACAGCAAGTCTCTGTGTTGTGTGGGATCAGGGGTGCAGACTCCAGAAAACCATGCCTGAACTCGCCTGCACACAAGCAACTGCATGCCAGTGATACCCCTTGATCTGGCAGAATCTGCATCCGAATTCCATGCATGGACTGGTGGGACATACATGTCAAAGGAGGACCCTTGGTTGACATCAGCGTGGTCGAAACAGTCCTGGGAAGTGGAGGGTAAGAGGGTGCAGCTCCAAGAAATCCTGTAGACTCCCTGCGGCCTTGTCTGAGTGGAAGGCTACTAGTTGTTAAGCAGTCTTGTGCAAAAGCTGGGGTGGATGCAACTCAGGGCCCTGTTTTGTAGATGTCTCTCGACAGTACGCTACCGGCAGGGGAGCAGCAGAAACTTGAGTGGCACAGGCAGCATCGACGGGAGTCCAAGGAAGAGGAGAGGGATGCAAGAGGGACATAGACCAAAGATTGTTCAGGCGATACAGCCATGGCAGAGATGGCAACGCATCACAGCTGTGTTGAAGGAGGGCTGTGGGATGGAGTCCAGGAAGAAGGTGAGTGAAGCGCTGGGAGCACATCAACGTGATCCTCACTGTTGTTTATTTGGGCCACCGTCCGCACAAGATGTGCCCTGGTGGTCCTTGTGCAAAGCCTATGAGAGCACTCCCCAGCTGGGACTGTTGGGCTGCAGTGGCCATGCCAACCCACCTAGACAATACGTTGCATGTGGCGCAGCCAACGCTCATACACGTCTGCGGGTAATATGGTGGCGGAACTGGATTTGATTCTTCAGGGTAGCCGGACCGTGCGCATGCCATGCTCGCCAAACCTGTCGTCGCCATCTTTGCAAGATTGCACACTCCCCATTCCCTGATTCTGGCGTGCCGCTCTCGCAGATGGTCCTATAATCTAATTCACATGTAATAAAATCCGGTATTCAAGTGTCTCCATGTGCTGTGGAAGCGCCCTGGGGGCCGTGGGGGCGGGGGGCATGTGGCTGCCGGGGGGGGAGGCGGCCCCTTCCCACGCTCAGCCGCGGCCTCGTCCTCTGGGCGGAACTCAAGAGACCGCGCCGCCTTGCCCAAACGCCATTTCTGTCACTGCTGTTGTTCACGTACGAAACCCAGATATTTAACGACCGATCCAGGTCTCTGCGAGCCTCGCACCGAGCCCCATCCCCCTACCCCCAAACCCTTCCGAAACCCCAGCAAAATTCCGTCCTCAATGACCCTCTCCCAGTCCTTCAAGGACATGCTGGCGGTGGCCCCGGCGCCAACGCAGCCCATCAGCAAGACCAACGGCGGGGTCCCTGTGGCGCCCGCTCCCGAGGTCAAGGCTGCCCACACTTCGGGACCCCGCCCCAAGGCCAGCGCCCTCCTGAAGGAGAAGTACAATCTGAAGGTAGCCTGTGTGGAGCATGCGTGCCATGATCGCGGTGTCGTGACCCGGGAGGCGGGGTGTAGCAGGCCCGCCCTGCGGAGCTGGGCACGGCAGTGGCTGGCTTCCGGGGACACCGTACCACTCGGTGAACGCCTGCGTGCCCGAGGACCGCCTCCTTGCTTGGCCAACATCCACAGGGTGTCCAGGAGTCGGAGAATGACCGCGCCGAGATCGTGATCGTGTGCGAGCCGGAGGGCACCTCCCTGCAGATGGGCGGGCTCCACCCCCGCGCCTCCCTGTACGAGAAGCCTGTGAACCTGGAGGCGGCCAAGACCGCCCACGCCGAGTTCCGGAACGTGATGCGGGAGAAGGGGGTGCGCGTGCTGACGGTGCGCGAGATCCTGGCCTACGGCACTGAGGACCACGTCGGCGCGCGCGTGGACCTGGAGGACTTTGCGGTGCAGGCGCTGACCTACCAGCTGGCCAAGGACGGCAGGATGGAGGACATCGAGGAGGCGGACCGGTACTACCTGTCGGACGAGTACAAGCGCAAGGTGCTGGAGCACATGTCGGTGCCGCAGCTGATCGACACCATCCTCATCAACCCCACCGTGCACCTGGCGCCCTCCTACCGCGACACAGGTGCGGTGGCGTTGGCGTGGGAGGGGGGAAGGGGTCCGCGATGTCACCGATGGGTGTGATCGTGGTGAACCGGGTCTGGTCGCGTGGGGTCCCCTCCCCTGCATGGCCGCTGCCGCCCGGCCATGCCCGTTGTTACCCGGGGCCACCCTGCTCTTGTGGCCCCTCCCCCGCCCCACCCCCCAACCCAATGGCCCCCTGCACCAAACACCAGGCCTGACCGCGACCTACTCCTTCCAGCCCCTGTCCAACCTGGTGTACACGCGCGACCAGCAGATCACCACCTGCCGCGGCGTGGTGATGGGCAGCCTGCGCTCCCCCCAGCGCGCGCTGGAGGTCAGCCTCATGCGCTTCTGCTTCGCCAAGCTGGGCGTGCCGGTGGTGGGCGAGGTGCAGCTGCCCGGCTACCTGGAGGGCGGCGACTTCTTCCCCGCCGGCCGCGACCTGGCCCTGCTGGGCATCGGCCTGCGCTCCAACCTGGCCGCCGCGCGCCAGCTCATGGACGGCGACCTGCTGGGCACGCGGCGCCTGGCGGTCGTGCGCGACGACTTCGAGCAGCACCAGGACCGCATGCACCTGGACTGCGTGTTCTCCATCCTCTCCGACAACCTCTGCATCATGCTGGAGGAGATGATGGGCGACGCCTCGCCCACGCGCCGCCTGGTGGACGAGTACGTGCGCGGCGCGGACGGGCGCTACGCCCTGGAGCGCACCGACGTCGAGTTCAGCCGCTACATGCGCGAGCAGGGGTACGAGATCATCCCCATCGCGCCCGCGCACCAGCTCCTCTACGGCTGCAACTGCCTGAATCTGGGCGAGGAGCGCATCGTGTCGGTGCACCAGGACACCGCGCGCGCCATCGTCAAGTCGCCCCACTTCCACGGCGACGTGCAGTGCATCGACTACAGCCCCATCACCTCCATGTACGGCGCCGTGCACTGCTCCAGCCAGGTCATCAAGCGCGCCGTCCGGCGTTGAAGGGGAGGAGGGGGGGGACGGGGGCGGCGGTGCGCCGTGCAGGGCGCCGCCCCCCCCCCCGCCCTTTCTTCCTCGACGAGCAGGGCCACCGATCC